AATTTTAGAACTATACATTACTCCATTTCTTAATTTAAAAGTAAATATTAAAAAACACAGATAAACAGCGATTGTTTGTGAAGTCAAAATACTAAATCTGTAGTTTTGTACGAATTAGAAACTCAAATTACAGATACTGACAAGCTAGAATATAATATAAGAATGTCTTATCTTTTCTATTTGCTAAGATATTGCTCATGTAATAAATCAAACATAGTGGTATCCTGCTCACTTCTTTCCATTTTTGGAAACATTCCCTTAACTACACTTAATACTATATATGATATGAGTAACCAATTGGAAGCTCAGAATGCCCCCATAGTAGTTTTCTCAGCATTTCTAATGTGGCTAGTGCTATTTCTTTCTTTTGAACCAAGATTTCAATTGGTTAGATTATCTTTAGTCTGCTTTCAATTTCATAATTTTTTAAGAGTAAAAAGTCTTAGTTACTAAGCTTGTTAAATTATAGTTGAATTCTATGATATTGATGTAGTACTTTATGATATTTTTTAGTTATTCAAATGTATATATAAACCTAAAAAAAAAAAATATTTTGTTTCATATCCTCCACGTGCAAAATTTTTAAAGGCTTAGCAATCTACGTCAAGCAGCAACCGAGTACAAAGTTTGTAACTAGTAGAGATAATTGTTTGCTTTACTTCTTTATTTACTGTTCTATGTTTTAGGAAAAAAATATGTTTAAGAACTTGTTTCAAAATAGCAATAATCTATATACGTATATAATGTATAATAATTGAAATGTGACTGTATTTTACAAAATACTATTTGACTAAAACACAGCCAAGAAAAGTTACTTTGTACAGGCCAAAGGTCAGTTTTGTGTTATTGGATACAGTAACATGAGTGCACATGAGTCATGTCATTGTAACTTCATTATCGTTAGCCAGGCACGGGTGAAAGGTCAGTATAATAAATATATAAAAATGTATAATGTTAAGAGATTTAAGCTATTTAGTCTAAACATTTATGTTTTCGTGTTATAATTTGTGTTCATTTAGAATGAAAGGGGCATAATTTATGTTTATTTCAAAATTTTTATGGTGGCTGTAAGATATTTTTTTCTTAATAAATTTTTGACAACTGTCTGGACATTATAAAAATTTTGCATGTGAAATTTCAAAATTTTCTGATACTTAAAGGTATTTTTAATTTTAAAATGAAAATTACATTGCATGATAGATAGGCAAGATGTGAAAATAAAAAAAATACCTGAGAGAAACATTGTTTTGCAAACCTTACGACTTAATAAAAAATTAGATACTTTGCATATGAAAGG